TTTACTTTATGTCAACTGGATGTGATTAAAAATAATTATTGCCAATGCTGTTTTCATGCTCCAGTGGCCAGGATCATCATCCTTGACATTTCTAGTAGTGCCTTTGCTTGGTTAAATTTAAAAAAAAAGGGATTATCATTAAGTAAAAATATTTCAGTTTAGAATTTTGACCTCAGACAAGATATTGAACCTCATTCAGTTGGCCCTTCCACGTGTTTGTGCAAATCAGATGACCAGACCTGGAAGCAAGGAGTGTGGAAGGTTCTTGGCACCGTAAGCAATATTACCCGTTGATGTGTGCAAATATCATCTTTATGGTTATCGGTCACTGTTACAGTTTGCATCCTAGAATCCTATCACCAAAACTTCATTTGTCCCGCTGATCAGGCACCACCCTTTGTGCAACTTTCTCATTTCATTTAGTGTTTCTTCCAAGCGATGTATTTTTGCCTGTTTGTGGCTTGTGCGTTATTATTCGTAGTCACTTGTGGAATATAGTGATCTATTGTGTTAATTTGGACAGTAGCGGTTTTTAAAAACCATATACTGACTGAAACATGAGCCAGAGCAGATTGCTTTATTAAGCTAATAATGAATGTTAAAAGAGTACGTATTTTCAGGATCATTCGTCTAGTAAGCAATACACATATATAGGCCAATATTTTTTTAAAACATAGAGCTTGGTCAACCTCTATACTACACATATTACAAGATATAGCACTTTCAAAATGAATCTAAACCTTTACAGAAACTTTCTTATAGGTTATGCCTTTTATTTTAAGACTTATTATAAATTTGTTTCAAGTGCCATTAGATGATATATATGTAGGCCTTTGCTATATAATGCTTTGTGTTCAAAAATGGTAGATGGTATTTTAAACAGGTACATTTTTACAGTGTTTTCTTATCCATTTGCTATATTGCACAGAATCAGTGTGTGTCTTTTTCATAAGGTTTTACAATGGTTTATTTTTTTACAAGGTTTACGTGTCTCAAAACACACTGTCTTCCCAGTATGTAAATTAAGAAATACCAGTTCGCCCAAGTTGCTTCTAGCCTACTGAGATCCGCGTGACATTGGAGGAGCCCTTTTCAGTAGTGAGTGTTCCTACAGCGGCGGCAGGCTGTCCTCTCTGAGGAGCGAGCGCCTGCCCTGACCTCGTCTTAGTTCTGCCGCTGCACCAGCGGCCCTGCCACAACACGAGATGGTCTGTCGTGAGTCCCTAGATCTGCGTAAGTTGTGTTGTGCAGTTCTGTGCTGAAGAGCCACGCAGAGCTCCTTTGGGATCATAGCAATCAAAGTGATCCTCCCTGCAGCGGTCAGGGCGCGCTGAGCTCACCCCTAGGCCCTCCTACGACGTTACCGACCCACTGAGGATGGAAGGCAGTGTCTTTTGATGAGTTCCCTAGCTTAGAAATGACAGAACTGTTGCTAATGTATAAAACACTCCATTGTATAAGCTCCAGTGGTACAGACGAACCAGAATGAATGTGTATCTTCTCAGAAACACTCCTTCAATATTGTGTCGGATCATGCTGCTAATGTGACTTGGGATACAACTCTTCATGGTGCTACAAACTTCTCTGTCTCGTTCAGTCATATTTTTTTATCCATAGGAAAAACAAAAAGGACTACATTAGGTGTCAAGGTGTACAATATATTTTTATACTGTGACTTCATTTGTCCTTAACAGACTTTTACACCACCAACCACAATGTATTCACGTGCACTTGCAAAAGGAAATCTTGGACGTGTGCAAATGTTACCAGAACAAACCCAGCTTTTGTGCACGAGGTGACTGTAACTCAGACTAGAACGTGGGCTTTCTGCTGTGGTGTGGAGTGGAGAGCGTGCTCTACGTGACTAGCAGCCCTTTGAATTTAACAAAAACTGGGAGTCCATTCGGAAACGCATTGCATCCTGCCCCCACATAAGCTGGACTGCTGGAATTGTATTTTGAGCTGATGAAAACGTGTTTGGACTAATACTCTAAAAAAAAAATGTTCTAATGATAAAGTTTTTGAGTCAAAATAGAAAAGAAAAACTCTGCATTCCAGGCTGAATTTTGTATATTTTTATTGCATTTAAAAATCGCTATTCTGTGATATTGGGAAATCAAGTGGCTTATCATGTATATCATGTACTTAAAATGTATTCACAAACTACTGTTGTATTTGTATAAAATATAGACAAAGATCGTATTTTTTTGTGTGTGTATAAGCTCTGTAAAATAGCAATCACAGTATGAAGCTGCAGTGAGACAACATTTTAAAAAGCATCCACATCCAAAGAAGCAGGCTATTTATTGTCCAGTTACCCAGATAGAAAATATTAACGTGCTGCTAATTTAACAGTAGTACTGCAGCTTCCGGTGGCCTACAGTGTTATGTTTGCTGTAAGAAAAAGAGATGTGAACTCCACAAAGTATATGAATAAAATTATAGAACGGCTTTAGATCATGTAGCTCTTCCTGAAATTTTAATAGATGATAAATTTCTATTTGGTATAACATTTTTTTTCTTCCTTTTGAATTTTAAAGATTTTCTCATTTGATAAAGATAAGATTCTAATAGCTTGCTCTAGGACAATACTTTGTTGTTGAAATGAAATGTAAAGTTCTAGGGTTTCTTTTGTTTTGTTTTAAAACTTTTGTACCTTTAAAGGAAGGACAGAAACTGTAAATAAAAAAAGTCAAAACATCATGCATCAAAACTTTAATCCAGGTGAGAATTCCAGAAAGAATTCCAAGAAGGCTATTAGAATGTGTAAATTGATCATGTTTCTTGTTCACGTGAGATAAGATTGGCATCAAGCATTCCTTTAGCACTTACGGTCTGTCAGTCCTGGAAATTATCCATTTAGAAGTTCCCTGTGGGGGCTACTTGTTAAGAATTTTGCTGAAAACCCACCCTTGGCAATTCATCGGGACCAAAATGATGAACACGTGTGTATCATTTCATCTAAAGCTCAGCAGTGCAACAATTCATAACTCAGCTTCCAAAGAGAGTTAATTCTGAAAATTCAGTTAACAATCAGTCCAGGAACCCACTGAAGATACATACATATTTGCATCTCATAGTACCTCCTTCAGAGGGGTAAAGATGCCTGGTGACCCCAGATGGGGCGGTTTTTCTTTTCACATGCTTAATTCCAGCAAATCTGAAAGCATTTCTTTGTTAACTCTTAGCATTAAGGCTAAGTACATTTTTTATTTAAGTTCACACATATGAAATATTTCAAGGACTCTTTCTAGAAGGAAACTGCTCTTGCTTTTATCATTAGAATACTCTGAAAAAAGTATGTTTGGGATTAATTCACTTAAGGTATAATCTCTATGGACACATAATTAGAAATGCAGTTTGCCTGTTGCGCCATAGACCCATGGGGCTCAAAGACTTTTTCCTTCGTGTTATTGTGAACTGAAACTTTGGTACTGATGGTTTCCCATTAAGGGGCGAAAAAAGTTCAGTCTGGCTGTAGATAGCTTGAGTTTTGCTGCCTCTTTTCCTTAATTGAGCATTTCTTAAGCAAAAGGCTTAGACACTCCTTCATGCTGAGTCCTAGGGCTGTTCCAGAGAAGCCAGCTTGATAAGCAGAAGGTTGTGTCCAGATCAAGCATCAGAGTGAAGAAGGCAGCATCGTTGCCGCTGTGGGAAAGTGTAAATGCTGTGTTGCGTTATACCCAGTTAGCCTTTTTCCTAGATCAAAAGTGCTCAAATATTGGCAGTTTCAGCCTAAAGCTAAAACAAAATGACATTCAATTCAGCAGAGGTCAGTAATAAATCTTTCTACTCTGAAGCTGTTTGACTCTTGCCTAGTGTGATGGTTAATTGTCTGTGTCAACCTGGCTAGACCACAATACCCAGACTAGATGCCTAGTCTAGTCAAACACGGGTCAGGATGTTGCTGTGGAGGTATTTTTTTTAGATGTGATTCACGTTTATAATCAGTTGACTTTAAATGAAACAAACTGCCCTCCCTAATGTGGGTGGGCCTCGCCTAATCAGTTGGAGGCTTAACTCCCAAGCAAAAGCCTTCCGACTAGAGCTGCAACATCGACTCTCCCCTGGGTCTCCAGCCTGCTGGCCTGCCCTGCAGACTGTGGACTTGTCAACCTGCACAATCATGGGAGCCAATTTCTTAAAATAAACCTCTGTCTCTAATATATATATATATACCCTATTGCTTCAGTTTCTACAGCTAGTTCCAACTGCCATTCTTTAGAGGTGCTGGTGTTACCTTGAAGAAAGTGGAGACATCTTTCTCTCGGATACATTGTTTTCAGCAGAGACATAAATCCCCAGGTCCTGACTGCTTTAGAAAAGAATTAAAACGCACAGCACTCAATGGAGATTGTACCTATAACGGCGTTTTCAGACTCCTTTTCTACACTCTTACTTTGGCTGCCATTAGTGCAGATGAAAATGATTTTCTCCTAATGAACACATTTTCCTTAAAAAAAAAAAGTAAACAGGCTAATCTTGCTTTACTGAATAGAGGCATACTTGACATGTAAACCAATGTTTATGATAAATGCAGAAGTGGAAACTTCTGTGAATGGAATCTTTCTTGAAAACATCGTTCATTTACAGTGATAACTTAGTCAAGGTCTTGAGCTTCTGGGGGAGATGGGAGTCAGAAATGTACTGG